GGAGTGATTTCAAGCGACAAAAAAAATAGCCAAAAGAGTACGTATATTTTTAATGGATTAAAGTTAATATATTTTTAATTCCCAAGAGAGTACGTATATTACCTTAATTTAAATTGTTTCACCACAACATTTGAAAATGATAGCTATACAACGATCATGACATTCAATTTCAATACCAAGACAACATCAACTTCATCACCTACAAGTCTATACAAAAATCATTGTTCATTCACATCTTTCTCATTCTATCTCTCATACCTACTTTTGTTATCATGAATACATAGTTGAGACCAACAAGAAGATCAACCATTGCAGCTTCAGCTTTAGCTTGATTTGCATAAAAAAGTGTTTGCACTAGTAAAACATTTGCTTTTACAGTTGCATGCTCCTTCTCATAGTTTCTCTCGGAATGCCAACTTATGGTGTTATGTGCAAGTGGAGCCAACCATTCTAACGTCTGCGTAAGCACCGTACTCCATTTTGCTGCAAGGTCTGCATTATCGATAGAGGAAGACTTGTTTGTTGTACGACATTTGAGCTTAGCCCTCGTAACGATTTGTATTCTAGTAGGAAGCATATTGTACAGATCATCTCTTGCTTTGAGGTCAACCGAGTGAGGCGATGATGCCATCTTCTCAATCAATACAATCATATTCGCATAATGTAGGGCTAAAGCCGCATCACCAAGGGTAAGCGAACCCGAACCTGGCTTTAACGTATTGTTGATGCATAACTTAGAATATATTCTAATTCTATTGCAGAGAGATAAATTTTCTGCTGTTTTCATTTTATCAACGTGTTTCATATTAGAATCAGGCAACCTCATGGAACCACCGTACCCGTTTGTCTGCTGCACGCAGTTCTGTATGACAGGAGAGTTGCTTGTGACAGACATGCAACTTTTGAATGGACCGATATTTCCTAACTGCTTGCTTTCCGAACGTTTGTGCTTTCCGCGTTTATCTGATGGATGAAGAGCCTTCTTATGTTCCTTCGTTTTCTTGCTCTTGTCGAATGAAAAGTACGGCCTCCTCCCAACAGAACCCAGGTTGTTGAATCCGTAGAGGTCATTCTCCGAAGGATAAATGGAAGAATGCATAAAAACAGAAAAAGATTGGCTACGCAAAAAATTGTCAGCATTCACAACCTGAGAGTCGTTTTCTTGTTGCAACGATGGTATCTGAGTATTTCCAAACACAAGTATGATCCTCTCGAGTATGGTGAATAGTGATTTTACCAGCAACCGGACGACGTATTCATAACTTCTATTCCACGGAGACATGTCTCTTAGATTCCTCACTTCCTGACGACGACACGCGACCTTCTTCTGAAACTCGAGCAACTTTACCCGATGGAGTTCAGGATTCGCCTGCATTCTCCTAAAAGTCTGTTCAACTTCTGCTAGTACTTCAAGCTCTTGGCAATACTGCGTCATGGAGGCGACCATTTTCTCCATTTTCTTCACTTTCCTCTCCATCTTTTTCCATTTATATTCCCACCCTGACCATTGAATATAATTCTGAACTGGATTGCGAACAAAATGTTCAAACCGATGGTAAACCGGATCCGCGCACCTCTTACCAAACCTAACAACAGATTGCGCTAGAAACTGAAAGTTATCAAGTATATCATTCAATACAAGCTCCATCAAGTAATCATCTTCCTCAGAAACCAACATTTTGATCCCAACAGAGTTCACTATCCCTTCCCTCAAACTCATTACTTCCCAATCACTCAAAGACCGCCACAAATTAGTTATCTTCGACATCAAACTCGTAACTTCTAACGCCAAAATTCCAACTACCGCCTTGTTATCTAAGGCATTCTTTCGCGATACCGGCCACAGAGAATTGAGCCATGACCCACTCACCATTTCACCTCTCATTGATTTCACTATACTCAATGGATATTCAACTCACCTAATCAAAAATATAATAAACACTCAATATCCTGAAATCAATCAAACCCAGTACTACAAATTAGAAATTCAAAACCCACAAAGGATTATTTATTATAGTAACAATTAGCAATACTATAAGAAAAAAAAAGATTTTTTAAAGAAGAAACCCTAACCCCCAATTGTTATTTTTGGTAAATGTTTGATTTTAAGCTAAGTCATGGAAAGGGTAGTGGCCTGACATGTTCAAAATCAAAACCCACTTTTCAAAATTCAATTTTTTTACTTGTTTTGTTGTGATTCACCAGATTTCAAACAAAGGGATACCAAGGGACACATAAGAAACCAAAACAAAAAACATAGTAGGAAGAGAAAAATAAATACGCACCTCTGGAGTGGAATAGGTTAGAGCATGAAGTTGAAAATCATCGTTTGAGAATTGGTTATTGATTTGAGAGTGTTGGGTGGTGGATTGATGTGGAAATTTGTTAAAGGATTCCACTTTAACTTTAACTTTGTTTTAAAGGTTACTTTGAAAATTTGGTGGTGGGACCAAAGGGTGGGTTGTTGTTGGGAATGGTTTTTATGGCTTTTCTTCAACTTCTTCGTTGTCTTGTTGTGCCTCCGACAGTTAGGGAATTTTTGCAACCACTACTTAGGAGAATCGCTATTGTGAATTCATTGGTTGGTTGGCAAAGATTTTGTTATGTGTAAATATTAATTTAATATTTGAAATATGAATTCAATTGAAATTTATTGACAATATAAAAATAAATTTTATACAATGTTATAATAAATTTATTTTTTATTTTAACCACTTATAAAGTAGTAAAAAAATTTACAATGATACTTCATAATAATTAATCTCTATATTTAATACTCCGAATGACATAAATATGATCCTCTATTTTATTGAATTTTCTAAATAAACTTTAGACTACTTTAAATAGGGGAACCAACTGCTTCATTAAAAAAAAAACTATAAAAAAAAAACTAAAATCATCAAAATTATGAAATATCAAAATCACTTTATATTTTTTCAATAGTACAATATATTTATCTGCCTCCAATAGTATAATATATTTATAAGATTGTTGTATACGATGTTTCTACGTAGTTATCAACAAAATAGTTTAACAAGTTTGATCCATTTTTTTAACATCTATTAGTATTTAATAATATATTTTTTGATCGTAATAATTATTAGATTTAATTGTAATTTTTATCTTTTTATTTTCTATTTTTTGAGTTTTAGTCCCTCATTTAAAAATCTGAGATTTTAATATATATTTTTAAGTTTTTTATTTTATTTTAGTACCCTTTTTAATTTGCAATATTTAAAAATTTGAATCAGTTATCGACTCAATAATACTATTAAACAATTGAATTATTAGATTGACTAATGAGTTATTGATCGAATCTCATTACTTGTAATTCAATTTATACAAACTAAAAAATATTTAAGAAATAATTTTTTTATATAAATTTCATAACTATAAAATCTAGGAAAGAAAATTCTCTGTTAATAGATTGAATAACAATCTTAAATTTTGAACTTTCAAACATAAGAATTCATTGGTGTTCATAAATTAACAAAAGTTGAAAAAAAAATTGTATAATATAATAATCTCATGAACTAAAAAATAATCTAGAACGTAAACAAATATTATTTTATATATAAATAATTAAAAAATTAATTAATTAATATGCATTGTCACTAAAATAATTGACACTATCAGTGTATCATAATCATTCAAATGAATTATTTTAATAAAAATTAAAATAAAAATTAAATACTTTTAACAAATCAACGGTTGTAATTCAACTGACAGTGTAAAATTTCTTTACACTGTCAATGTATTTCAATTAAATTCATAAAAAATAAAAAATAAAAAATTTATAAATAAAAAAGTCAGTGAAAAGACCGTAAAAGATAATAACGAGTTTTAGCTAAAATAGTAAAAGAAAGAGTGGAAAAAAAAGATAAGTTATAAATTATAAGTTAAAATATTATTTAAAATAATATTTGGAAAATAAATTATAAAATAGTAAAATAAGTTATAAGTTCGTGAGAAAAATACTATTAATAAAGAAATATTTTATTATAGTATAATTTATAAGTTATAAGTTTAAAAAATATCTTTCCAAACAGAGCTTTATACTAAAAATAATTTGAAAATTTATTTCCATCTTTCTTTGATAACATAAACTTTCTTTTTCAAATAATGAAATTCATATTGAAAAAATGTGAAAATGTAATTTTTTTTGGCAATATGTTTTTTTTTTCAAAACTCTTGTTAATTTATAGTATTGATTTATCACATAATTATTTTTTAATTTTAAAATTTATTATATTATTATATTTTATGATTAATAATAAATAAATTTAATGAGAATGCATTAGAAAGATATATTATAATTATAGAATATGTAACTTTCTTTTTTTTATCAAATTAAATATTAATAGTGCAGTTGATAAAACTATAATTTTAATAGTTTGAAAAATTACATATTTAATTTTTAAAATTTAACAAAATTTTATTTTAAATTTAACATTATTTAGTTTTTATAAATAATTAAGATAATTATAAATATTAATAAATTTGAATTTTAAAACATGACACCAAAACTTTAAAAAAAAATGAAAATAGGATATCAAAATTATGATTAAGCAAAAACATAAACATAAAAAGATCAATTTGTCGGATAAAAAATTCATCGATTCACTAGTCTGACTAATAAGTTGGTCGAATCTCGTTGATTTTTTCCGGATCAATTACAACTATGATTCAATGATCTTATATGATCTCTTTACCCTTCGATTCACGATCTAATCGATCTGGCCGACCAGAACGGTCCATGTTTTGAAACATTGCTAATTTGAGTCAAATTTTTAATGAATGACACATGTAGTGATAACTTTGAGAGTCCCATGTCAATATAATTAATTAATAACATAACACAAAATTGTAATTAATATTAATTAATAATTAATATTATTAATCTACCATAAAATAACTTTAATAGTTCTGGAAAAGACCAAATTACTGTGTTAGCTCCACAACTCTCCACGTCTTCTGCTTTTTAAAATGCATCACGTCTTCTATTTCTCTCTCTTACACATCCTTCTTTCTTCCTTCTTCCTTCTTCATTCTTCCTCTTCTTCTTCTTCTTCTTCTTCTTCTTCCTCTTTTTCTTATGTCTTCTACCTCGTCTTTTTCTTCCTTCTTTCTTCTTCGTTCTTTCTATTAACAATATCGCTAACGAAGCCCTAGCCGAAGTCAAAAAAGACATCAAAGTCTTTCTACAGATGTCGGGTTGCTCTCGTCGCATTTGTGAACCGACATCCACCATTTGGGGTCTGAATAATTCACACATGCTAATTAAATGGTAGATTTGATAGTTATGGAATTTTAATTTTAGGGTTTTCTTTTGATATTTTTATTGGAATAATTCAATATTTTTTGGATTTTGAATCATGGGTTTTCTTTGGGTTGTTATATTCATTGGGAAAATGTAATCTTTTTGATTTTTGAATCTTTGGTTATTCGTAGGTCATTGGAGAGAGGTTGTCTAAGGAAGAAATTAGTGGTTTGAAGTAATAGGTTTGCGACACGATTACTATACGAAAACAAATTTGGTTTCAACTTTATCTTTTTTTTTGTTCTGATGTTGTTTAAATGTGCAGATTTCAAATTTGGAGTGACATGTCCTTTTGATTGATAACTCAAACTGCGGGTAATAGTTAGTTTGGATGGGTCATTATTTTATGATGTTTAAACAGATTGTTCGCAAAGTGTTCGATGAAACTTTCAAACCACTCACTTTTTTAATTTTTTTTGTTTCAGATTCGTGGTTGTTCGATGATGTTTTGTTGATGTTTTGATGTTTTGTATTTATGCAGGCTACTCAACTTGCTTTCGTCGTATGCGTGACGACCGTCATACTGTCGCAAAGATGATTTTCTGCATTTTCTTCAACCGAGTTATTCCGAAACTCCATTTTCCAATATTCACCCTTCTGCCCGAATATATACTTGAATAAGTTGGATTTTGGAATCCTATGGTAAATGACTTTATCACTTTTCAATACTATGCTAGAATAGAACATGTCAACTTAAAAAGAAGATTTAAACATACATAGATAGAACTCTTTGCTCTTGTATATTTCTGATATGAATTGTGATCACTTTTGCAATTCAAATAGTTAGTTTTTTCCAATTTACATACTGCTTAAGATGTCAATGTCTCTTAGGTTCTCACATTGATTATATACACTTTTGTTATTTTTATTAGTTCTTCTACTTTAAAAATATTCCATTTTTATTAGTGAAACCATGTTTTTTTATTTTATTTCTGAAAAGTATTGAAGCAGGAAAATGTTCAGTATGTCATTGCTCCTTATGAGGCAGATGGTTAAATGACATTCTTGACAATTACAAACAGGTTGATACAGTTATAACTGAAGATTAAGATCTCATACAGTTTGGTTGTCCAAAGTGAGTTTTTATAAAAAATTGCATGTTAACAATGCATGTTCAAATCAAGTTAATGTGTTTTCCTTTGATTTCAATTTGCCATCATTTCCTGTCTTAGGACCATGAAAGTGTGGTAAAAGTAATATGTATTGGTTCTAAGTTTGTTGATTATGTTAATACTAATGGCGATGTTGGTGTGATTTTGGAATCAACTAGGTGTTTCTGCATTCTTAAAACATGATTATATTACATATTTTAGATATACAATTTTAGAATGCATCATCTATGTGTAGCGGTAGAAATGTTTAAGACTAAGTCATTGGATTAATTAAACTTATACAGATCAAAATAAAAATCTCCACCGCACTTTATTGTTTCCAAAGGAATGAGAAAAGAGAGAGTAACCCAAAAAGAGGGGGAAAGATTCTAGGTAAGGGGGTTGGTTATGCAAAGGGAGGGTATTAGCACCCTAAACATATGCGGTACTCCACAGAAACCTCTTTGAAAAATCTGTATATTTTGGCTATAAAATATTGTATAAAAAATAGATGGTGGAGGTGAGAAAAGAAGTATTTTTTATGATTTTTGCACTCGCCGCAATTGTGAACCTTTAGTGCCTACGTACCACCTTTCATGCAATAGGGGATCAGAGTACACGTAGTTCCTCTTTAAAAAATTTAAAACACAAGTGTGTTGGTTAATTTTATGAGATAAGACATCATCGTCATTGTCCGTGTGGAAAACATACTTACTACCCACAATCATGAGAAAGGAGAATTTGCATCATCTCAAAGTGGAGGATATGACTTAGATTTTAAAATCAACAATGCCTCACTCAACACCTAAGTGGAAAATATCTCTCTTTACTACATATTATAGAAGTATAGTTGTTTGCATCACTACAAGGATTAACAAGAGTCTAATCTTTTGAGAAAGGTTTTAAAATAGAAAGCCAAAGTGGCAAAAATGGTTTGAAATGAGATTGATTGACTTTTAGTCTTCTCAAAAAATGTCAAGGTATTATTAAGTTGATTGAAATTTATTTATGAAAAATGTTTCGAAAATGCATGGACATAAGTCCAAGTTTTTTATGAAAGTGGTTCAAGTTTTAAAACGAGAAGAGTTTTTAAAAGGAGGAAGAAGATTTTTGAAATTAAAAAAGATGAGAGAAGAATAAGAGACTATCCTAAAGCATAAGGTAAAAAGCTAAGGATATGAAACATCTAACTAACAAGAAGCTAATACTTTACATTATGAGTCAAGATAGAATTTCCATTCCTTGGATCGAAACCAAACAAGCAAAGATACTAGACCTCTTGAGAGAACCAAACTTTAAGTGTATTAAGTCTTCGCGAAAATTGAGCAGAATAATGGTTGTATACGGGTGAATTCCAGATTAAAAACAAAGAATGTAATTACAATAACCTGCACATAAAACAAATAAACAACCCAATGTCTTGAGGTAAACCTCAAGAACTCTAGACAAAATATCAATTAAGGTCACAAGGTCTCCAACATAGGTCAAGGCCTCTAATCCTAAGTCCAAGAAGTCCAATACTCCACAATGCCAAGGATAGTAACCAAATAGTCCAAGTATCATTAAAGTATTTTATGGTTCATGTTGATTATTAGGTGTCTTAAAAGAGAAAAGAAAATCTCAAGTGAGCAAAATAAAAATAAAAAGAATATCAATGCTCAAGTGAGCAAATTAAAAATGGCATGAAATATAATGCTTAAAGAAAATGGTACATGATCGCGACTTTATCGTCTAAATTAATCGGGAGACTGCAAGTATACAGCCCTATCGCGTAGTTTTAAAAGATATCGAACCTAAGGGACTATAAATCGAACTAACGTAACCTAAACTACTGTGTAAAGCTATAACCATCGAATAATTAATTAGGGGAATTTTTGGGTAATAAAACTTAATTCTAATTGAAATAATAATAATGCGAATATCGGTATGTACTTCGTTAACACTAAAGAATCCGGCTTTCCACTGGCTTATTTTCTAAAAATGATAATAATATCTTTTTCAGCGAAAAGTATTTATTCAAAAATCTATTCTCAAACTTTCGCTCTATTGAAGTAAATTATAATTTTAAACTCTGATGTATGCTTTCGCTATCCCATTGATTTTAAAATTACTTTTTGAAAATAAATAAAGTTTAATTGGTTTTAAAACGCTGTCGCAGTTGTTGTACCCCAAAATTTGCCCTCCCATATTCTTCAAGAAATTGCCAAGTCATGCTTCAAAATTCCCCAGGGGTTGCACAGTTTAAGAGTCTCCTAAGCAGTTAAAATTAGGGTTTTGGTTCTGATCAAGAAAAGGAAGTTTACAAAGGTCTAATCAAGTTCCACATGCCTACAAATATGGTCAAGCATCCTCATACCAAGTTTCAAGACATTCAGCACAAAATTGCACAGTCAAAAACCCTAAATTGCACCACAGTCAACTGCAGGGGCAAAATGGTCATTTGGCAGTCAAAAGTTCAAATTTTTGATCAACATATCATTTTGAAGCCACAAACATCATTTGATCAATGCTTGGTCATGATTCTCAAAGCATGGCTAAAAAATCATCAAGATGCAAAAGTTTCCTTATTTGGACAGCTGAAAAAGTCAACTGTAAATTGACCAGGGCATAACTTTCACATGGATTATCATAAAAATTCCATCCAAATCTCATTTTGAAGAGAAAGACATTTCCTACAACTCATCTTCATACTTCAAGTCCAATAAATGCTCTCATAAAAAGTTATCAATTTCAACATTATAGGTCATTTTCAAAAGTCAACAAAAAGGGACTTTAAGTCAAAGGCCATAACTTGAGATTGGTAAATCAAAATGACATGGGACCAAAGGCATTGGCTAGAGGACTCAAAGACCTTTCCAAAATGTCCAAGAACATGAGCAAAGCTCAAAAATTGAGCAAGTTATGCCTTGTGGAAGTTGGGAAATTTTTGGATATTTTGAAAAGTCAACATTGATTCAAATGACCTAAAATTGCTAATGGGCCTATTTTTCTTCCACAATTCATCATCCAAGGCATGCACACGACCATTTGGCCCAAAGGGAAGTTTTTCTCCATTTTTATTTATTTATTTGAATTTTTTATTATTAATAATTCATTTAATCAAATAAAATACATGAAAAATATAAAACCAATGAAATAAAATCTTTTTGTGCATGAAATATACTCAATAATTCGTGCATGATCAGATATGGAAGAATTGGAATTGATTGGATATGATTTGTACAAAAATAGCATGAAAAAAGATTTGAAAATCATGGTGAAAAAATCAAATATTGCATTCTTTAATTCATGGATTCTAATCAAGTTTTTCAACCCTAATTGGTTTCATACATAAGCACAAGCAAGACCTAATGCCTCAAGACCACGAAGCTGCGCAGGAACCTGAAGATCAAACTCACACTTTTTCTTAAAAAATCTCAATTCTGAAAACACCTTTGCAGGGCGATTCAAGACCAAATAGCTACTCCATTAGCTTCCTTAAGGATCATAGGACGTATTCCAATCATTCCCTAAGCCCCATACTCAAGAAAACGTGAAATCACCATTGAAGTTGGTAAAGAAAATTTCAGAATCGGTTTCTATCATTCATGCATTGTTAACATGTTTCATTGTTATTTTTGTGTTTAGAATAATGTTTGCAAGCTAATCGTATGCTTTGAATGAATTATTATGCACTGTATGCAAAGATGCCATGGTTGTGTTTTAGGGTTTACAGGATTTCAAATTAGGGGTTTTAAAACAAGGAACAATTGGAGCACAAGACTGAGACCATTGAATCCAGCATGGTTGGACGATCAGGAACCCACCCTCGCGCTCAATTTATGAGCGTCCTAGAGCTATTCGTTATTTTCTGGAAAGGGACCTAAGGGAACACCATGAAAACCGTGGCCTATGTTTTATGTTTCAGGAACGAAGAAGAAGATGATATCGTGGAATTAGACGATTGGCTCTTTTGAATTTGCACGCTCAAAACCCACTAACACCTTTGTTTTATTTGATATTATTTGTTTGTTGTATTACATACAAAACGCGTGGAATGGCTTAGTGGTATGCGTATGTGCTGGCAATGTTCATGACCTGGGTTCGAGCCCCAGGTCTTCACAATCTCCATATTATTTTTCAACCAAAATTCCTGTGCAGTGTCAATAATGAAGATACATCATACGCCTTCAGAATCAGGCGTCCACGCGTCCCAAGGAAGAGGATCAGAAGGCCACGCTCTGAGGTACATGGTAAACCCTAGTCAACGCGTGTACACGCGTCATGGAAAGGTCAACAAGGCCTCCAAATGGGCCAGCATTATTGGATTTTCACCTCCACTTTGGGGACAGATACCCCCCTAGGTTTGCATTTTTTTTACATTCTTTCTCTTTTGTTTTTTTTTCTTTCTTTTAATTATTGTGCTTTTTTTAATTTTTCCATAAAAACACAAAACAATAAAAAAAAATCAGAAAGATAAAAATAAAATAATAAATATTTTATTTAATAGTATTTTGTAAATAAATAACTTTAATTGATTAGTTTTAAATTAGGTTTAATTTTAACTTTTTAAATAAAAATCTAAAAAATATAAAAATTAGGGTTTAATTAATTTTC